GTTATTTTTCACGTGTGATTTATTGGGACATGCAGGTAGCAGATGTCCTTTGGGGGGTGGCAGGGTGGGGTGTGTGTGCAGACAGGCACTGCAGACAGATTGAGGGTTTGGTGCAGGAAATCAGGTAATTCTGAGCACCCTGCCTGTTCCCTGTGCTGTCACAGCAATAGACACTGCTCAGACTTGTGACCTCAGTGCTGCTGGCCACTGCATACTAAAAGGAGAAAATATTTTGTCAAACTGCCTGGACATGACAGAGCAAGATCGTTTGGGTGGTGTTTAGGCACAGTGCAGACCTCAGAGACCGAGAATAAAGGTACACTGAAAAGTGTGGGGCAATGTGATGGTGGTCACAGGGGTCTCAGGTAGAGGGAAGAGACAAGGACCCGACTCCATGTTTCAGAAGGCTTGATTTATTATTTTATCATATAAATTATATTAAAACTATTCTAAAAGAATAGAAGAAAAGGTTCTCAGAAGGCTGGCTAAGAATAGAATAGAAAGGAATGATAACAAAGGTTTGTGTCTCAGAGAGTCAGAGCCAGCTGACTGTGATTGGCCATTAATTAGAAACAACCACATAAAACCAATCCCAGATGCACCTGTTGCATTCCACAGCAGCAGATAATCAATGTTTACATTTTGTTCCTGAGGTCTCTCAGCTTCTCAGGAGGAAGAAATCCCAAGGAAAGGATTTTTTAATAAAAGTTGTCTGCGACAGGGCAAGATCTGAGCTCTTTTCTCTGTCTGATGCTCAGGGGCAGAGCAGATTTCTGTCCAATCTGCCTGCCAGGTGGGGACATCTTTTCTCACAGGAGGTCACTCTCTGCTGCCTCCAGGCATGCACTGCAGCCAAGTGATGGAAATATCTCGGTTTTGATGTTCCCAAACAGGCAAAGCATTCAGGCATCTCTCAGTTATCAATAGACTTGCAGATACAGCAGGAGCGGTGGATTCAGCAGGATCAATAGCTGGGGTGCATTAAGTGCAGCCTGAGAAGAGTTTTGTTACATCCTTCAGATGGTGCCTGTCTGAATGGAAGCTGAAATCTGCACCATGAGCAGTAATTAAGAAGCGATTTGCCCTTGGTCCAGATTGTGGGCATAAAGCCAAATTCTGAGTTCCCAGAAGTGGGAATTTTCAGATTCAGGCTGAGTTAGGTGATGTTTTTTGCTCTCAGAGCTGCCTGGTCTCTAAGAGGGGTCAGACAGTGAGTGCTGATCCTGTGGGTGAGATGTGCTCTGGGCTGCTGGATAAGGGAGTTGGATGCAGAGGTTGCTTTGAACAACTTTATCTGTGCAGAAATCAGGATAGCACAGCACCGAGCTGCAGCATAAACAATGGGGCATGAACATTCCTCTCCTTTGGGAGCTTTGCAGCTCTTTCATGTCTTCACTCTGAAAATATGACTTTCTGAATAAGAATAAATAAGGTAAATATAAGTATAAATAAGGTAAAGTATATAAGGGTATTAATAAGGTAAATATAAGTGTATAAATAAAGTAAATATAAGTATAAATAAGGTAAAATATATAAGTATAAATAAGGTAAAGGATATAAGTATAAATAGATAAAAGTATAAAATATAAGTGCATAAATAAGGTAAATATAAGTGCATAAATAAGGTAAATATAAGTGTATAAATAAGGTAAAGTATATCAGTATAAACAGGTATAAGTAAAACATATAAGTGCATAAATAAGGTAAATATAAGTATAAATAAGGTAAAGTATATCAGTATAAATAGGTATAAGTAAAACATATAAGTGTATGAATAAGGTAAATATAAGTATAAATAAGGTAAATTATATAAGTATAAATAGGTATAAGTAAAAAATATAAGTATAAATAAGGTAAAGTATATAAGTATAAATAGGAACAAGTAAAAATTATAAGTGTATAAATAAGGTAAATATAAGTGTATAAATAAGGTAAATATAAGTACAAATAAAGTAAATATAAGTATAAATAAGGTAAAGTATATAAGTGTATAAATGAGTATAAGTAAAAAATATAAGTGTATAAACAAGGTAAATATAAGTATAAATAAGGTAAAAATAGGTATAAATAAGGTAAAAAAGTGTGATGAGATTTTCAGTTGTGTTGCCTTGTTCAAACAATGAGCAAAAAGGGCATTTGATAAGTGGTGGTAAGATGCCAGAGAGGCACATGCTATGAAACTCTGCTCTGTATGAGTGCAGAAAGGGGAAAAAACTGCTGAAACGTCTTGGTTTGGAGTTTGCTTTCTCTCCAAGAACTAAATTGTGGTTGTGCTGGTACAAGGCACTCTGCTCCATCCCCAAAGCCATCCCTTTGGAGGAGCAGTGCACAGTTCAAGGAACACAACCTCAAGAAGATCTATTCAATTTGTACTTCTGAATTTCCTTTGGGAATCTCAGATTAAAGAGTTCTGCGCTGATAAATGACCACTAAATGGTTTCTTAGATCAGGGCTATGACAGGACGAGATTTCTAATAGCTGCTGAGCCTTGCAGATGGGTTTCTTTCCACTGAGTCTCTTTTCTTTCATGCAGAGGGTTTCTTTCCACTGGGTTTCTTTTCTTTTGTTCTGTGCTTCTGAGTGCCAGTTTTTAGGCTGGTTTGGAGAGATTTGGCTTCCCCATCATCAACAAAGGAGATGGAGAGGCAGCTAGAGAGCAAGGGTTGGAATATTTTTGTGTGCAGCAAATCTTTGTTTCCCTCCCACCCCACCACATTGCACAACCCCTCAGATGGAAAGGTGAAGAGCATCCTTTCCCACTTATTTATGCCTGCATCACTGCTGCTCTCCCCCAACAGCAGGAAATGGCCTGACAGCATCTCTGTGTACCTGCTGTTACCCATGGCTGGGCAGCAGCAGCAGCAGAATTGCCAAACATTTAAATTATTCAGCTGCTGTTGTTGACTCAGCTTTGGAGCTGCATTGATGTTTCCTGAGATAATGGCTCTCTGACTGGAACCTGGGAGCCCCAGCAGGGGCACAGGGAGGGTTTTCCTCGCTAAGGGGAGAGGGGACAAGCTGGGATAAGGTGAACCTGTGTGTGCATCCACGTCCTTGCACCAGGAGAGTGTGCAAGGGCTCAGGAGGGAGCAGCTCCTTCATTCCTCAGCCTGGCCTCATTTCTCATTTCTCATTTCTCAAGTGGCTGAGTTCAGGAGGGGCTGTGCTTCCTTCCCTGGGCAAAGGCACATGCAGCTTCCTCAAAATATTCAAGCCCATTTTTACGTTATTTACTTTTCAAGCCCATTTTTACATTATTTACCTTTCAAGCCCATTTTTACGTTATTTACTTTTCAAGCCCATTTTTACATTATTTACTTTTCAAGCCCATTTTTACATTATTTACTTTTCAAGCCCATTTTTACATTATTTACTTTTCAAGCCCATTTTTACATTATTTACCTCTAAAGCCCATTTTTACGTTATTTACTTTTCAAGCCCATTTTTACACTATTTACCTTTCAAGCCCATTTTTATGTTATTTACTTTTTTAGCCCATTTTTACGTTATTTACTTTTTAAGCCCATTTTTACATTATTTACTTTAAAGCCCATTATTTACTTTTCAAGCCCATTTTCACACGTTATTTACTTTTCTCCAAGGCCATGTGCCCGAGGCTCTCTGCTGCCCACATTCCGCCCCTCATTCCCTTTAAATGAGAGGAAGAACAGCTGAGGGCAGCCTGGCAGCAGCCAGGTTCTGGGCAGCCACTTCTCTGGTTACATGGCAGATACCAAAACCCAGGAAGGAGCCTTGCATTCCTTCACAGCTACATCATCTCACAGCTGAGGAGTTCCTCCAAAGGTCAGAGGCAGAACTGTATCTTGAAAAAAAAATAAAAGGCTCTTTTTAGCTGAAATATCAGTCTCTGCTTTCTAAATTTCTGACAGAGCTTCTCCTCACCCCTGGCTCTGTCTGCAGGTGCTGGAGTTCAATGTTTTTATCTCAGGTGTGAACCCCAAATGCAACAGCTCTGAGGCACTGGGGATGCTGGGCCTTGTCCCAGGATAAATTAATTTTCATGTGGGTATGATAAGTATTATAGCATCCAGTATTTAAGAGAATACTGGAACCCTGGTTTGCAAAAAAGTCCAGGACAAAGGAAGGAATTGATGAATCTGACTCCGTGTTCTTAGAAGGCTAATATTTTATTTTATTTTATTTTATTTTATTTTATTTTATTTTATTTTATTTTATTTTATTTTGTAATGCTATCCTAAACTGTACAAAAGACTAGAGAAAGGATACAGACAGAAGGCTACAAAGAATGATAATGAAAACTCGTGACTCTCTCCAGAGTCCTGACAGAGCTTGACCATGATTGGTCATTAAGTTAAGCAATTAAATTAAATTAAACAATTCACATGTTGGATAAACAATCTCCAGACCACATTCCAAAGCAGCAAAACGAAGGAGAAGCAAATGAGATAATATTGTTTTCCTTTTTCTCTTAAGCAATTCACATGTTGTATAAACAATCTCCAGACCACATTCCAAACAGGAGAAGCGAATGAGATAATATTGTTTTCATTTTTCTCTGAGGTTTCTCAGCTTCCCAGGAGAAGAAATCCTGGGTAAAGAGGATTTTTCAGAAAATATGACGGTGTCCCACCTTGTCCTTCTTGACTCTTTAAGTGGCAAAAGGTGAATGGTAGCTGGAAATAGAACCCAAGCTAAGGGGTAAGGGATTTTTCAGAAAATGTGGCAGTGACACACCTTGTCCTTCTTGACCCTGTGAGTGGCAAAAGGTGAATGGTAGCTGGAAATAGAACCCAAGCTGTGTGTGGGTCCCCGGCAGCACCCCAAACCCTTTGCCAGGCTGGCCCAAATGTAGCACCTGGAGCCAGGATGGAGCACCTGGAGCAAAGCACGAGGGGTGGGCCCTGCCAGGCTGGCCATGGTGGCCCTGCAGGGTCACCCCAGGAAAGGGTGGGACGGGAGTGATCTCCAGGAGCTCTGATCCTCTGGACATTGGTGTGACTCCCTTGCGTGTCTTTCAGAGAGGGCATGCACCAACCACTGTGGACCCCTTGCCTTCTTGCTGCAAGCAAGGATCTCCTGAAGGGATGCTGGAGCAGGAGTCTGCAGCGCAGGTAGAAGGGGGGAAGGGGCGCGTTCGTTGTGTCGCAGCGGGCTCTGGGCCCTGCACAGAGCCTGGAGCTGCTGTCACCAGCCCTCATCTGCCACTTCAGCTCCATCTCGGTGTCCTCCATGTGGGACTGTGCCCAGCCAAGCTTCTGCAGGGACCTGGGAGGAACCTCAGGTCTCCTGCTCGCTGTCTCCAGCACAGACCATGAGACAGTGCAGTTCTGCCCACAGAGCTTTCATTTTGCTTTCTATTGCTGTAGTTTCATCTTCCCTTGCTCTGAAGGGCAGAGTTCATGCACACGGGCTCCTCAGACGTGTTTATGAAGCGTGGCTCAGGCATGACACTCAATAAACACTGCCCAGCTCCTGACGTAGGATGAGCCACAATCTCCAGACTCCAGACAGAAGTTGTGCTGCCCTGCAGCCAGGTGTGTGAGTGCTGATAGGGTGCAAGCCCAGCTGCTGATAAACCTCTCCCAACCCGCTCATGCTTGGTTCCGGCTGCAGCATTCAGCACTGGTGGGTTGATGGGAGCTGCAGACGGGCAGTGCAGGGTGAGCTGACCTTCTCCTGCAGGGATGACATGCTTGCATTGCCTGAGGGTGAGTACCTGGGCATGGTCAGGGGTTTCTTGGGCAGCAAAAGAGGAGAGGGTGGTTCACATGAGGGAGTTTAGGTATATTCTGGTTATTTAGGTATATTCAGTCCAAAGATAATGCCTCTCCTCCCCAAAGAGCTGCTGCTAAATGGACCTCAGGGTTTGCTGCCCCTTCTTAGGACATTGGTAACTTACCTAAGATCATCCTTGGAGCCAGTGCCATTGAAACTACACCCCTCTGTGCTGTATTTTTCTTGTCCCTCTCACCTCTGCTTTACTGGGAGAAGAGAGATGCCCTGGGTGTTGTGTTTTTGCAGTATTGTGATGGTAAATGTTGATTCCTGTGTGGTCACCTTGCTGCCGTGGGACAGGTGCACAGGGTGGTGTTTCTGTCTCAGCACAGCGCTGTGCTGGCTCTGCTCTGGAGCAGGTGGCTGTGCTGCAAAGGCTTTGCTTGCATGTCCTGGCAGAGATTTATTTATTGCCAGGCTTGTGCTTCTGGTGCTTTTCTGTCACTGCTTTCTGCCCTGCATGGCTTCCCCAAGCAAGGCTGGCTTGAGGCTCAGGACAGTAACTCTATGGTAGCCACAGCACAGGGTGTCACTCTGGTTTTTTAAGATTTTCTAAGCTTTCTGATGTTGGCATTCTTGTGGTGAACTTTCTCACACGCTTTCTGTAAATAACTCATTGTTTTGCATTCCTTTATGGAGAAATTAGATGGACTGTTGGTTTGTCCAGTGTCATTGGAGAGGTGGCATTGTCACCCTCCAACCCACTGTCACTCTTGGAAAACTATAAATTTTAGAGACAGAAAATAAATTTCCCTTTTTTTTCTTCATTTTGAGAGCAGCAGTGTGTGCTTGTGTTGTTTTGTGTCCTACAGTGACACAGGGGCTGCACTGTGACACCCCCCAGCATGCAGATCCCTGCAGAAAAACCCCTTTTAAGCACTTTGTGCATGCAGGGAAAGCAGGTGTGGACTCATCCTGCTGGAGGGAATGAACAGGGAGTGAGTCAGAGCTGACTGCAGAAACCAGGAGCAGTTTATAAAGCACAGGAAAGAAAAGGAAGATTCTGCACAGGGCAGCTGGGCAGATCCTGATGGTGTGATCTGGGCTCCAGCCCCTCACCTGAGGGCACTGACAGAGCCCAGGCCAGGTCCAGAAGCTGTGTCTGAGTCCCAGGTTGACATCAGAGCACATTTCTGACCCCCCTTGCCCTGAGCCCTCTCAGCTCCCCAGTATTTACTGCCCAGACCTGCCTGAGCCATGCCATGGCCCAAAAAAGGCAGAGCATCAGGAAAGCAGCAGGGAGAAAGCTCTGCTGCTGCATCTCTTGGCAGCTGGAAATGTTGTGGTGCTATTAGCAGAGGTGTAGTGCCTGAGCAGAGAGCTCTCATGTATTGTCTTCAGTCACAGTCTGTATATTTTTTGATGAGGTAAAAATAGCTTTTCTTTTTCAGGATATGCAGAGAGCAGAGGCTCCTGCTAACATCAAAGGAGAGTGACAGCTTTCCCCTGGGTGTGCGTGGCCTCAGCTGGCAGGAGCAGCAGCTCTGTTAATTCTTGCCTCTCTGTGAGAGGAGAAATGGGAAAGGGAAGATGTTCTGCTCTCCTTTCCCTGTTCTGCTCTCTGGATCAGCCTCTGTTTCACTCTCCACTGGTGCTGGAAACCCAGCGCTGTACTTGAGAGAGAAAGTGATAGTTTGCAAATGATAGTTTGCAGAAAAAAAAGAACAAGATCTTGAACGTGTTCCTTAGGAAATCCATTAGGCAGCAAGCAGTTGCTCTCTGTTAATTCTTGCCTGTCTGTGAAAGGAAAAATGTGAAAGGGAAAATGTTCTGCTCTCCTTTCCCTGTTCTGCTCTCTGGACCAGCCTCTGTTTCACTCCCCAGTGGTGCTGGAGACCCAGCACTGCATTTCAGAGGGAAAGTGAGAGTTTGCAAGTGATAGTTTGCAAATGATAGTTTGCAAATGACAGAACAAGATCCTGAACGTGTTCTTTGGGAAAACCATTAGGCAGGTGGACTCACAGAGCTGCCCTCCAGGGATCCTTATCAGGAGCATCACCCTCCTGCCTGGGGGCATCTCCTCGCTGCCTTGCTGTGTGCAGATTAAGCTGTTTGTGATATCTGCCCTGCCCACAGCCCTGAACCTGTTCCAGCCAGCAAAGGGGAGCCGTGAGCAGGGCAGGAAGGAGTCAAATGGCAATGCAGGTGCCTGAAATTGCTCAGTTAACCTTCACCCTGAGCTGCACCGCCAGTGGCAGCCCAGAGCTGCCTCTCCTGTTCAGAGTGCACAAAAATGGGTTTTCCACAAGCTCATTACTCCTGATTATGTAACAGTGGAGAGGCCAGCCTGATGCTGGCAGTGGAAATCTTGCCCTCTCTTCAGCACTGCAAAAATGCCAATTGACAGGCTGCTTCCCTTCCCACAAACCTGCCAGGGCCTTCCTTCCCTGTTTCTTCTGCTTTGGGGTTTATCCTTTGCCAGTTGTGTCTTCTCCAGCTCAATCCTTTGCACGGGAATGCAAACAGATCTTTCAAGTCCTGCATGCTCTGATTCACCTGCTGCAAGATGGTTGAGCTCCCCCTTGCACCCTGCTCTGGGATCAGCCCTCTTGGGGCTGTTGTGAAACCTCCACCAAGCAGAAACGAGCATGGACAAAGGGTTTGCTCAGGCTGGTGCATGAAATGAGGCCAAACTCACCTGGCAGATGCCTTCCAGAGATGACTCCTTGTGCCTTGACTCTCATCGTGGCTCCCATTGCGATCTGCAGACCTGTGCCAAATCATGTGAGGGTGATGGCAGAATGGAACTTGGGCATGTGGATTTATCTGTCCTGAGTGGATAAGGTTGAGGATGATGAAGGAATAGAATTTAAGTATCTGGGTTTATCCTTTCATCAGATGAATTTTTTCCAATGGTTTTGCTTCTTTCTTTTTTCTGGGTTTGCAGTCTCTGCCTGTTCCCTGTGTTCTGCTGGCTGCCTGCCTGGGGCTGTGCTGCTGTGGCCTCTCAGGAGATGCTGTGTTCTGCTGAATGCTGCCTTCTACTCAGAAGGCAGAGACCTGCCAGCAGGGTTTGTTTCTGCAGCAGGGCCCAGTTTCTGTTAATAGAGACAGCAGAGAAAGTTCCTGCAAGAGAGACAGCGTGGCTTCTGGTTCTGAGCTCTTGGAGATGAATTTCCTCTCTTCCCTGATATTCCTATGGGTTTTCCTATGTTATCCCTAACTGCTCTTCATCTTAGCAGCTCTTTTCGTGTGTTTTGAGGCCTGACAAATTCTTCTCACCTGATGAGAGAGGACTGAGGTTACCACCTGCAGAATTGTGTGGTTGATATCGAGTTCCAAATGAGCATTGGCTCCAGAGACATTCCTAGGCTGGACAGTTCCTCAAAAGTGAAACCACTACACTGATGTGAGGTTTTGGTGTTTCTGCTGGAAATGATGCCTCAAAGGTGAGGATCATGCCCACTGTTGGGCACAAGCCCACATGAGTAAGGAGATGCCCAAGCCAGTGGCAAGGGCTGCTGCCCTTGGCAAGGGTTTATGACACATCCTCAGCTGGCAGAGCTGACTTTGGGCTCCAGGACACTGGCATTAGGAGCTGGATGACCTCTGAGATGGAGCTGGACCCTTCCACAGCATCTAGACAGGATGCCCATGGCAATATTGGTGCCAGGGTTAGGGTTTGCATCTCACTGCCACTCCTGGGTTATTTGGCTGTTGTTTACTGTGAGCTGTCCAGAATTCTGGTGATTCCTTGCTGGACCTCCTGTCTGCTGCTCCACGAGTGTCAGCTTGGCTGGAGAGACAATGGGCACACAGGGTAAAGAGGGCAATGCAGCAGAGTGTGTGTGTGTGTGTGCCAGGCTGGAGCAGTGTGGGGAGCTGCTTCTTGACTGTCTTTGTGTCCCAGAAAACGCCGTGAGATCATCACAACTCATCTGGGCTTGGAAATCATCGACTTGCAGCATCTAACAGCTCACAGAGAGCGGGCTTCTGCCAAGCGTGGCCACCTTGGATGCTGAGACCCTCCCTTGTGTTATCAGTGAGGAGCAGCAGGAGTTTATGGGAGCTCCTCCCTGGGTGTGAGGAGCTGCCAGGAGAGATTAGAGCAGGAGCTGGCTGTGACCAGACACACAGCAGGCTCACAAACCTCTGAGTGCAGCCTGAAACCCATCCTGACTTTGACTTTGCTCTGGAGCCTTGGCCATGGCTGCAATGCAATGGGCTCGTGTGGTTCCATTATTGCAGTGAGAGAACGAGGAAACCTGGAAAAAGGGGCAGAAAAAGCCTCTCCTCAGGGCCAGGAGAGGGTGTCATGAGAATAAATTGACTCTGAAACCAGGACAGAGGGAAAGGGAAAATTTAGATTGTCAGCTGACAGGGGGAAATTTTTCCTGAAGGAAAAGAAAGGGAAGCAGAGTAGAAGCGCAGTCTGAGGTGCTGTCCTGAGTTTTGACTTTAGAAGGTCTTGGAGCACTTAAAGCCCTGATCTGAAGCTTCTCTATTGTAGAATTGCTGTCAGCAGCCCCCTGACCCTTCACAGCTTGGATGTCTGTAGAGCACGATGCCCGTGTTTAGGATTTAGCAAATTCCACCTGAGAGTGCAAGAGGTTCACAACAGCAAGTGAGGCAGCTTATTTTCTCCCCTGGAATATCCCCTTCCTGGAAAATTGCTGGGAAGGCAAAGGAGAATGGAAAGAAACTCTGCAAAGGAAAACCAGCAGAGGCAGTTTCTGCCTCTGGAAGCACAGGGGCACCCAGGGAGTGCCTGTGTGCTGTGCTGAGCTCTGTGCCTGTCAGAGGGTGCTGATAACGTGTGTCTGTGCCGGGGTGAGTGGGATGTGTGTGTGTATCTCCTCCATGTGCACATCTCCCTGTGCCCACGGGGTCTCTGCACTCCTTGCTGTCCCTTTTGCTGAAATTTGGGAGGTGGCAGCAACCCAAACTGTGCTTCCATTTCCTGGGGAGCAGATTGCCCTAAGCAGTGGGCAGGCAGACAGAAAGGAGGACAACATGACTGTGGATCTGCTTTTATCTGAGCTGAGCTATTCCATTCCCCCTGGTGGGATGGATTGCTGGTGTCTGATGCCCTGCACCTCTCTGTGCATCTCTGGAAGGTTCATACTGAGCATGGGCAGCAAAAAGCAGCACCTCTGACACGTCCCAGCCTTGGCATCTTCTCCAAGGGCATCCAGAGGGGTGGAGGGAGCTCAAACCCTCTCCTCTGTGGCAGGGGTTGCCTGTGGGTATTTCTGTGGGGCTGCTTTTCCTCTGCTGCTCCAAGGTGGTACCTGTGAGTTTCCAGGCTCCTGGGCATATTTGTGGGGCTGCTTTTCCTCTGCTGAGGTGGTACCTGCAGCTCTGACCCCCTCCCTGCGCCTGGCAGCAGCCACATTTGCTTTCCGGAGGTGCCTTGGTATTAAATATCCTGTCTGACACAATAATGGAGAGAAAATGAACAAATTCCATTAGCAGTTGGCGATCCCCGCAGGGTCTGCATTGGAGGGAGGACGGAGCCTGTATTTTTAGCTAGAATGCAATGTAACTCACTGGCTCTCTCAAAGCTGGGGAGTAGATAACCAAGGAGGCAGAGAGGGGACACCAGGCTCAGGTTTCAGCCGAAGTGCCGGGCTATGGCAGCACGAAAGGGCAGGTCCGGTCCAGACGTGGCTGTGAGTACTCAGCACACTTCTCCTCCGTGCCCACACACACCTCTGCTTCGCTTTTCTGCTTTGCTTTCTGCTTGTAGTCTCTGCTGCTGGGCGTGCTGGGCCTTTGGGAGCCCCTCTGCTCCTACAGGGCCGTGTAGAGTTTTACATTTAATCCTCAGTGCTCCATGTGTGTCCCACGGATGGCAGAGCCTGGCCGAGCGGTGCTTTGATTTTCCAAGGCTTTGCTGCCTTGTGGTCGGTCCTGCCCTGAGAAGCAGAGGCTTCCGGCAGTGTCTGGAGCTGGAAAAGCTCTTTGCATTCAGCCTGTTGCTTGAAGCTGTCAGCGTTTCCTCGCTGGACCCCAGCTCAGGGAGTGAATGTGCAATTCTGAGCGCGGCGCTGCTGCTGCTGCTGCCTTCTGCCTCTGTGTGAGCAGAGCAAGCACCGAGGTGCTGTGTTTGCTGTGCATTCCCAGCCCTCCAAAGGCCCAGCCCTGCTGTGCTTCGCATGCATTCCCAGCCCTCCAAAGGCTCAGATCTGCTGTGCATTCCCAGCCCTCCAAAGGCCCAGCCCTGCTGTGCATTCCCAGACCTCCAAAGGCTCAGATCTGCTGTGTGTCGTGTCCATTCCCAGCCCACCAAAGGCTCAGCCTTGCTGTGCATTCCCAGCCCTCCAAAGGCTCAGCCCTGCTGTGTTTCCCATGCATTCCCAGCAGCTCTGCTGTGAACCTGGGGGCTCTGCTCTGAGCTGGGGGCAGGCAGAGCCAGCTGGCGCAGGAGGGGATGAGATCAGCACGGGCTGCTGCTGCTGCCCTCCAGCTCTGTCCCTCTGACCCAGGGGCTGCCCCACAGGGCCCATGGCATCTTGCCACCCTGCTGGTGGCCTGGCCTGAGCTCTGTGCCTGGTCACCCTCTTTGTGGCCCTTACTCTACAGCAGGAGCAGGGCATGGCTGTCTTTCCCCCTGGTAGGGGTGTCAGGCAGAAAGGATGGGCTGGGGGAGGCAGATGGAGGAGGCCAGAAGGCATCCAGAGCACCAATTCAAACATCTGGGACTGCAAAGAGAAGGGAAGAGAGGAGCCCTGAACCTCTCCTAATCCAGGAGTTTCCTGACCCTGGATGCTCCTCTGCAACTGGGCTGTGGGCAATCAGGATGAGCTGGAGGTGGCCAGAAACCATCTGAGTTGTGCTGCTCCAGAGCCCCAATTCAAACATCTGAGAGTGCAAAGAGGAGGGAAGAGAGGAGCCCTGAACCTCTCCTGATTTAGACTGTCAGCATCATCCTCCCTACTATACCTCCAGTGCTTTTGTCTCTGTGGTGCTTCCAGCTCCTGCCCAGGAGTTTCCTGATCCTGGATGCTCCTGGGCAATACAGGATGGCTTGGGGTGGCAGAACAGAAGCTGTCCTAGCACAGGAGGTCCCTTGGTCAGTCCTGATGTAAATGGTACAAGAGGGGTTCTGATTTTCTCTTGGAGCTGAGGACAGAGGAGTGTGTGCTGCACCCATGCTGTGATGGTGTTCACAGGGGTCTTAGGATGAGACAGAGATGTAGATCGGATTCCATGTTTCAGAAGGCTTGATTTATTGTTTTAAGATCTGTATTACATTAAAACTACAATAAAGGAATAGAAGAAGGAAAAGGTTTCATCAAAAGGCTAGCTAAGAATAGAAAAGAAGAATCAACAAAGGTTTGTTGCTCAGACAGAGAGAGAGCCAGCTGTGCCATGATTGGCCATTAATTACAAACATCTACATGAGACTAATCATGGATCTACTTGTTGCATTCCACAGTGGCAAATAACCATTGTTTACATTTCGTTCCTGAGGCCTCGCAGCTTCTCAGAAAGAAAAAAATCTTAAAAGAAAGATTTTCCATAAAAAGATATCTGCAACACCCATGCCATGGATCTGGTGGCTCTTGGTTGCACAGATCCCTCTGGGCTGGCACATTCCAGTTACCAGTTCAGGTTCCCAGACCCACAGACCCACATCATTGCATTTCCACCCCTCCAGTGAGCCATGCCATCGTCTCCATTTGCTGCCTCACACTGCTAAGTGGTGTTGCTGAAAATATTGCTGTGCCTTGCCTGGGCTGCCTGTGGTGTGGCAGGGAAGCACTGCCAATAAAGAGAGTTGGGAAGCACTGCCAAAAAGCAGAGTTGTGGCTTTCCCAGCTGTGAGGTGCTCAGCTGGGACTGCTCTCCCTGGTGCTGGTGCCCAAGCTCACCTCTGTTGGTACTTCTGGAGGAGGGTAGGGGTGGGCTCACTACAGCTCCATCAGTGCAGTTCCTCAGCCCAGGTTGTGGGGGTTTTCTGGGCCAAGAGAGGCTCTCATGGTGGCAGGAGCTCCCTCCATGCTGTCCCCATATTGTGACAGAACAACCTTCAGACCTTCTGCCCCATCATCTGGATGCTCTTCATTTTAAACCCAGCTCCCAGCCCTTCTTTCTCCTCAGCCTGTCCCACTGTGACTTTTCTTGCCTTTTCTGCCTGGTCTGTGTAGTTCTGTTCTCTGCAGCTGAGTGAAGAGTTGAGCCAGTGCTGGTGCTGGAGGAGAACAAAGGGAGCTCTGAGTTTCATGCTTTTTCCTTTTTTGTCTCCAAGGCTGATGCTGCAACCAGTTTCTTGAGAGCTGCGAGATCTGGGAACCTGGACAAAGCCTTGGATCACCTCAGGAATGGGGTAGATATTAACACCTGTAACCAGGTAGGTGAAACACACAGGATTTCTGGTATTATCTCGAGTTAATGGGAAATGTGACTGACCAGAGGAGCAGTTGTTTTTGGGGCCAGGAGGGCAGAAATAGCTGTAAAGAGCATGGATGTACTGGCTGGGGCATAGCAAAGGACATTAACAGGTAAGCAGAGAGGGCTCCTTGAGTGTGACAAGCAAATGGGACAATTGGAAGAAGCTCAGGTGCTTCTCAGAGGGCAGAGCAGCTGAAGAGCAGAAAAGTGAAGAACATCACAGGAATTGTCTGTGGGGGTTATTCCCCTTGCCTGCAGTGCTGAGGGTTTTTTATTCCTAGGAGTTGCAGCTTACCACAAGCAGAGAATGTTTGCAAAGTGCCAGTTGTGGTTTGGGAGGTGCTGGGCAGGAGGTGCCCTCCTCACGCTGCACAGAAATAGAGCAAAGAGCTGCAGGCGCTGAGGAATTGTTTGCACATCATCATCATCATCATCATCATCAGAACATTCTGTATCTGTGCAGCTGCACGTGGCTGAGGCTGAAGTGGGGCAGATGCTGCAGGGACAGGTTCAGGGGGTTTGGGCTGAGCAGGGGGGGCAGAGGCTGAGTGCTGTGTGTTGTCTCTGCTTTGTGGAGCTGCTGGGGAGGCTGACTCAGCAGGCAGCACAAAGGAACTCTCATCTATTTCAGTCCCCAAACCAAGGGAAACTCAGACCTGGTTTGTGCTGCAGCACTCACTGGGGACTGTGATGGTGCTCACAGGGGTTCTTGGATTGGGGAAGAGATGAGGATCCGACTCCATGTTTCAGAAGGCTTGATTTTTTATTTTATTATATATATTACATTAAAACTATACTAAAAGAACAGAAGAAAATGTTTCATCAGAAGGCTAGCTAAGAATAGAAAAAGAAAGAATGATAACAAATGTTTGTGTCTCAGACTCTCTGTCTGAGCCAGCTGGGCTGTGATTGGCCATTGATTACAAACAACCACATGAGACCAATCCCAGATGCACCTGTTGCATTCCACAGCAGCAGATAACCATTGTTTGCATTTTGTTCCTGAGGCCTCCCAGCTTCTCAGGAGGAAAAATCCTAAATAAAGGATTTTCCATAAAAGATGTCTGTGACAGGGGACAGGGTCCCACAGGGCAGGCAGAGTGCACCAGGGATATTCACTCATTTCCAGAGCAAACCCAAGAGGAGAGGGAGGATTTCTACATCCACTGGTCCTGTTAATGCTCTAACTCAGAGGGGTGTGGGGTTCTGGAGAAGGCTCTGCAAAGAATCACAACAGGGTGACTCATCCACAAGCTAAAAATGATGGCTTTGAACTTCTTCTTCACCAAAGAGATGGTTTGGTTCACTTTGAACTCTTCTTCACCAAAGAGATGTTCTGTCATCAGCTATCTCCACTGATAAGCTTCAAGTCCCGCTCCCAACCAGATTTCTGGTGCTGGTGAGGGTGTTTAACAGTTTGATGGGAAGAAAATGGCTGCAGGAGTACGAGGCTCTCCTCTCAGTGATGTCTCTGCCCTGGTTCCTGCCATCTCCCTCAGGTTAGATGGCACTTTGGGGTTTCCTCCTGAGGAATATCAGACCTGTGGGAAAGGTCCAACCTCACATGTCCTGTATAGAATAAAGAGGGATATATGTGGTCAGACCTATCCCACAAGTCCTGTATTCTGGCTCAAGTTCTGAGACCTTGACATGCCATCTGACCTTCATCCCGCCGACTTCACCTCCTCCATGGCTGCACCAGTGTCTCCATCACTCACCTTCCATGTTCCCAATTCCAGCATGCTCCCATCTCATCCACGAGGAGCTGGAGGATGAGGATGAGTGCCAGGACCCTCACCAGCATCGTGGTGGCACCTGGGTGCCCAGGACATGGTCATTGTTGAGGTGGCCAGTCCTGATGGTCAGCTGTGCTGGCACAGCCAAAGTGTGAAGTCTCTGTTTTATTCTTCAGGGCTGCATTTGGCACATTGGTAGCTACTGACTGGGATTTCTGGGAATTATTTGCAGCATTCAGTGAGGAAAATACAGCACCCTTCAAACTGTGCACATCCTGTGGCAGTTTGGGGTCGGATGAGCTGTCAGGACAAAGCAAATGTGCAAAACAGCCTGGATTGCTCCTGGAGCAGAAATACCAATGGGCCAGCAATGGAAACAGTCCTCTGTGATTGCTGCACAGCTATTTGTTACAGGTTAATGATTTGTCACAGATTTATAGCATTCAGAAGGTTTTTTATGAATCTTTTGCATAAAAGGGCTTATGGGCGTTGGGGAGCAGCTGAGCATCTGTGGTCTTGCTCTCCATTTGTTGGTTATGTGAGTGTAACTGAGAAAAAAACTGCATGTCTGTGGCCACTTATCGCTTATAGGACTTGTGAGGTGTTATTATAATCAGTGATTATCTGTTTGCGGCTTTGTAGGTGTGTCTTTATCAAAGAAATGGGGTTTGGCCAAAGATGGACTCAGAGTAGCCAGACATGGATGGGGAGCACTTCCTTTCAGTGTTCTGAGGGTTTTACAGCACTCCCACCTCATCTCCCCTTGGAAGCAAACCTTTTTTCCTTGAGGCTTGATGGAACTGTGGAGTTGGTGTGAAGGAAACCTGTGGGATTTTTAGATTTTTGCTCTTTGTGCTATAATCAGAGTTGAGCAAAAGAATCTGTGACTCTTCAGCTACGATCCTGGGCAAATGGTGCTTTGAGCAAAAAAGAACAGAAACCTTTCTGCAGTCTGACAGCACTCCTGAAGCAGTTCTGAGTTTATCTGGAGTGCTGAGGGCTGGAACTGAGCCTCCCTGGGTATTTTCCTGCTCCCCTGCCAATATTTAGGTGGGGATGAAGCATTTCTGTGAAGTGACCCTCCAGTCAGGAGTTGAAACGCATGATTGGAAGGTGGAATATTTGGGCAGGAATCCCTATACCACGCACCAACACTGTGTAGGGGTGAGTAAACCTGGCATATCCACCTGGGAGAAGTGAGGGACAAGGAGAAAAAGTGAAAATGCCCGCAGGTGTTTAACCTCTTCTCCAGCAAATATCCCAGCCCTTTTGTTCACATGTGAGAAGTGGCAGAAATAACGGACCAGAAGCCGTCTTAGTAGACATCGTCATCATCATCAATCATCAATCATCATCATCAATCATCATCATCATCATCATCATCATCATCATCATCATCATCCTTGAGGATGCTGTCTGACCTGGCACCCCTCCTTCTGACAGCCCGGGGATGCTAAAGGGGCATTGGCCAGTGCTCTGCTCTTCAGGCTCCATGTGTAGGATAAAAACAGGCTAAACTGGGGCAGAAATGTTCCTGAGAAATCATTTGAGCTCTCTGAGAGCTTCCTGGAACCAGTGACCCAGCCAACACCTTCTCTACACTGTTTGCTGCAGCTGAAATCTGGGGGAACAAAGCCCAGCGTGGGCTGCAGAGCAAGGTGCTGGTGGGCACTCTAAAAGCCAGGGAGAAGCCAGCTTCTGGCCTGCAGGCTCCCAAACTACTGAGAATTAAATAATTAAATCTGGCTGCTGCTTGATTAAATCATTGTCCTAAGCAGGGCTTCTCACTACACATCTGTCTAAATGTTAAAAACCTGACTATGAGAAGGGGAACCCCGTGGAAAGTCACTTGAGCAAAGACACAAGGGATGTGCCATGAGCAGGGAGGACTGAAGCAGCTCCCGTGCCTCGAGCACACGAACACTGAGCTGTGGTTTCACCCATCCATCCATAGGAAATTGCCAGCGTGGGCTGCATGGTTTGCTCATGGAGAAACCTCCAGCTTTAGTCAGCAGCCCAGTGTTCAGTTGTGTGAGGTTTTCCTGGCAGCATGGAGCTGCTGGTTGTCACTATAGGACATGAAAAACCACAACTGCACACTGTTTTTCTCAAAGTGAAGGAAAAAGGGAAGTTTATTTTCTGACTCCAACATTTATAGATTTCCAGGAGTGACAGCAGATTGGAGGGTGACAGTGCCAGCTCTCCAATGACACTGGGCAAGCCAACAGTCCATCAGCTTTCTCTTCTTCCATAAAGGAATGCAAAAAAATGAGGTATTTACAGGAAGTGTGTGAGAAAGGTCACTACAAGAATGTTAACATCAGAAGGCTTAAAAAATCTTTAAAAACCAGGGTGACAGTTGGTGGCACCATGGCTGGTGCCGGATGTCAGTGCAGAGTTCAAGGACAGGGAAATCCCTCCTGCCCCACCATCCTGGACTTTCCCCAGCACAGGAGCTCAGAGTAGGGTGCTCCCCATAGAGCTCCATCCCCAGATGATGATGGCTGATTCCCCTTTCCCACCTTTGCTCCCTGCAGAATGGGCTGAACGCCCTGCACCTGGCCTCCAAGGAGGGCCACGTCAAAATGGTGGTGGAGCTGTTGCACAAGGAGATCGTCCTGGAGACCACGACCAAGGTAAGGACAGGGAAGCCTGGCCATGCTGGGGACAGCTCTGCACACTGCCTGTGCTGCCAGGAACACCAGCTGAGCAGTGATCATGGTGTTTGCTGTCAGTGATGATGTTCACAGAGGTTCTTGGATGAGGGAAGAGGCAAGGATCTGACTCCATGTTTCAGAAGGCTTGATTTATTATTTTATGATATGTATTACATTAAAACCATACTAAAAGAATAGAAGAAAGGATTTCATCAGAAGGCTAGCTAAGAATAGAAAGGAATGATAACAAAGGTTTGTGGCTCAGACTCTCTGTCTGAGCCAGCTGACTGTGATTGGCCATTAATTAGAAACAACCAACATGAGACCAATCACAGATGCACCTGTTGCATTCCACAGCAGCAGATAACCATTGTTCACATTTTGTTCCTGATGCCTCTCAGCTTCTCAGGAGGAAAAATCCTAAGGAAAGGATTTTCCATAAAAGATGTCTGTGACAAGCCCCCAGAGTGACTGTGCCAGTGCAGAGCTGCTGGGCTGGGCCCTAGGACCAGGCTCTGCTTTTGGCACAAGTTTGGCATCTTTTGGTGGGTGAGAGGTGCCTCTCCCCTGTGGACTTCAGAGAGGAGGAACATAAACCACAGCATGGGCTGGTCCTGCCTTACCAACATCTCGTGGGCTGGCCCTGCCTTACCAACATCTCCTCCAGGCACTGCCCCACACGTTCCAGCACTGAGATGGCCTCAATCCCATTGTCACAAGCCTGGAGAGCTCTGGTGCTCTGTAAATAACATATTGTTCTCTCAAGCATCACCACAGCAGGTGTGGTTTTCTCTTGATGGCAAGCAGGGCTGGCAAAGGAGCAGCCTCCAGCACAGGCTGAAGGGCTGTGAGAGCAGGGGGAGGCTCAGTTGCCACCTCCCTGGCGCTCTCACCGAGCTCAGGACGCAGAGCAGGACCTGGCATTGTGCCACACCACCCAAAGGCACGAGCCAGAGGAGCCTGTGTGTGCATTTTCCAGGCTGCTCATCATCCCTGTGCTATCTGCCTTGGCTGCCAGGGTGCACACTGCAGCACTGCCAGCTCAGCTCCCCCGTCCTCCCCCCTCTGCTCGGCTCACAGCACCTGACAGTGCACACAGCTCCTGCTGCCAGCAACTTCATGGGAGGGATGAAATCACTCTGTTCCTCCCTGGCCAGCAAAATGGGGAGGGTGGTTGGTTGGTTTCCAGCAGGGATGGCACATGCAGTGAGAGCTGCACGGCCTTCTAAAGGTTTTTAGCATGTCAGGCCCACCTTTCCCTGGCATCCTGGGTTGCTTCAGCCCCTGAGGGCTGTTCTGTGGTGTTTTTCAGAAAGGAAACACAGCCCTGCACATCGCTGCCTTGGCTGGGCAGCAGGACGTGGTCCGGGAGCTGGTGAACTATGGGGCCAACGTCAATGCACAGTCCCAGGTAGGGTGAGCTGCTCTGGCACAGGGAGGCACAAATGTGTGTGATGGTGGTGTCCTCGTGGTGGGAACTGTGCCCAGCTGGGGCATTTCAGCAGCCCTTTCCCTCAATTCCAGCAATTTCCCTCCAGTCTTGTTCAGCAGCAAGGACTTTCCATCAATTCCAGCAATTTCCTTCCAGTCTTGTTCAGCAGCCCTTTCCATCAATTCCAGCAATTTCCCTCCAGTCTTGTTCAGCAGCCCTTTCCCTCAATTCCAGCAATTTCCTTCCAGTCTTGTTCAGCAGCCCTTTCCCTCAATTCCAGCAATTTCCCCTCCAGTCTTGTTCAGGACTGCTCTGCCAGGCTCCTGAAAAGAGACAAATTTGCAAATGGTGTGGAGGGATCTTGAGGCACATGGGGGGATTCCAGTGGGGTCTCTGTTGAGGGAGTCCTGTGAACACATACCAGCATGCTGAATTTATCCTGGGAGGGCTCGTGGCCTCCCTGGCAAAGCTCTGAGATCTCCAGCAGCCCCTACAGTTACACACACTGTGATTCCTTCAATCTCTTTTCATTGGGCCTGGGAGGGCTGAAAGCTCTTCAGGTGTTTTGTGATAGCAGAATTGTCCCTGAAGCCAGGGACAATACCAGCAGTGTCTCCTCTAAGTTGACTCTTACAAAGCACTGTTTGTTTCTGGATATATGGAGCCTTGGGCTCCATCTCTCTGTGATTGTTCCCCTATTGCCAGTTTTTTCTTCTTTTTCATCCCCACAATGGACACTTCTTCCCTTGTTCACTGACCTGGGAGAGTGGGTGTTGATGGGGTATAGATCTTCAAAAAACTCAGGAAACCCAAGGAAGAGTTGTGTTGATGTTCATGGCCCTGTTTCTGCAGAAAGGCTTCACACCTCTGTACATGGCAGCACAGGAGAACCACCTGGAGGTTGTGAAGTTCTTGCTGGAAAATGGAGCCAACCAGAACGTAGCCACAGAGGTGAGATGTGACCGTGTTCACAGGGGTTTTTTGGATTGGGGAAGAGACGAGGATCTGACTCCTTGTTTCAGAAGGCTTGATTTATTATTTTATGATATATATTACATTAAAACCATACTAAAAGAATAGAAGACAAGGTTTCACCAGAAGGCTAGATAAGAATAGAATAGAAAGGAATGATAACAAAGGTTTGTGGCTCGGACTGGGCTGTGATTGGCCATTAATTAGAAACAACCACATGAGACCAATCCCAGATGCACCTGTTGCATTCCACAGCAGCAGATAACCATTGTTTACA